GATAGAAAATACTGTATCAGAATATATCACACATAAAAAGGAAATTATTTTGTGAAACTCTGGCTTCTTTCACACACTTGTACACAACACGCACACACCCTAAATACAATTAATGAAGATTTCTTGTTTGGGAGTTTTTTTTCAAAGAAACTTGAAAAGGTACTACTTGGCATGATCAAGAGCTCTCCAGATGTCAGAAAAGGTAGGTCTTTTCTCTTGGAAAGGGAGCTAAGTTTCTCTGGAGAAAAATTGTCTCAATTTCTGGTCTGGTGATCAGTGATCATTCAAGTATTTGTTAAAACACTTAAGTGCTAAACACTGTTCTGACTACTGGGTATAAATCATGAACAAAACAAACCTCTCAGTGGGAGGGATAGACAATAAATTATGCCCTATTTCGATATGTTCTATGGTAACCGTAACAAAAAAGAAAGCTGAGTGTATGTATGCAGATTCTGGTAAGAGGACAGAGGTGGTGGAGTGGTGGGTATTCTGAAGTAGAAAATAATGTTATCTTCTCAAAATGAGAATGGGGAAGAAGGCATTGAAATCTGAGGAGAAAAGAGAGGGTATGAAGTAATTTAAGAAACAGCACAGAAAACAATATAGCCTGTAGCTAATTCCTATTTTTGTACACTTCACAAGCTAAGGATAATTTTTAAACTTTTAAATGGCTGAGGCAAATATGTAAAGATGCTATATCATGACATGTAAAGCTAAATGAGATTTTGAGTAAAACTCAAACTTCACACATTCACATATTACATATGGCTACTCTCATGCTATAATGGCAGAACTGAGTATTTGCAAAAGACTGACCCACAAAGTCAAAACTATTTACCTGTCCCTTTACAGAAAAGTTGGTTGACCCTGATCTAGGAAAATACAATAGTTTGCCCTTTGCTTCATCCCTTGCCTGCTGATACTGAACCTTGTCATTTCTACAAGTCTACTCTCCATGGGACATATACATGTACATCCTCCTGCCATTCCTCAGACCTGAACAGGTCCCTTTCATATACCCATGTGCTCCAGTTGGTCTTAATGAAACCTGTCCACTTTAAAATACTTTCTATTCCTCAGTTATTCCTGTTCACTACAGAGAAACCAGTACAACTTCAGATCTGTATGTGTGAGGGACAGCTTCTCTAGGACTTCCAGAACAGGATGATATATCCTTCTTAATACAGCAAGCCCCAGAACCAAACTGTTCTTATGTCCTTACACATTTCCAGAATAAGCAAGATGAGAATTACTTAGCAACCCCCTACCCAAATATGTCATTCAGCATAGCCCAGGAGTCCAGCATTTCAAAACAGAATCCCCAGATATGACCAAGCTGAGTTAGATTCCTGTTATCCAGGCTTATGAAAGATTGTATGTCTCCACTCCCTCTGCCCTCCAAGTCTCTCCCCTGGCAAACACAAGTACCTCTACTGGATCAACTGAATGTCCTACTCTCCCCAACCTATTTGTCTTATTCAAGACAATTGACAGAGTTTGAGAATGTTAACACTGAGTGTCTGGGTTCCCTGGAATGTTACATTTTCTGTAGTAATTACAAATTGGGAGGCAACTGTGGCTCCAGTGAAGAGAGGGGACTGAAATCCCCTCTCTGATTATTATGGGGCTGGGATTTTCTGGAAGAGGCATAGATCCAAGAAAAAATGCAAAAAGGTACTGCAAAGAAAGAACAAAGCCTGTAGCCATTAGGCTGCTAGAACGTTTGGTCCTAGTGTTTTGGAACATACCACACCCTGAAAAAAAATCTCTGAACAGACAACTAAAATGTTTATTTGTTCTTTTGAGATGATTATGAATATTGATTCTGTCATCATTGTTTAAGAGCCAGATCAGGTAAACCTTATGACAATTTTCATACTTAGAATAAGTGGACAAAAACTATTTGAGGTAGAATGGCATCACCTTCTGAGTAGCAGAACTGTAATTCTAAATTGTGGCTATTGTCACAGATGAAGCATGTTGCTTGTTGACTACTCATTCGTGTTTAAATATTAAAGATATTCACAGTTAAAAGGTTAGTTTCTATCATCTGTAAAATGTATTTATTTGGAATACCATTTGGACAATGACTTCATATATTTAGGTTCATTCAACCCTTTCCCTTCCCAAACATCTCTATTTGTCCAAGCTAAATAAGTATTTCCTTTTCTGGAATTAAGGTTTCCCTCCCACACTGCTGTTCTACACACCATAAAAGATTGTTCATGTATATGAAGTTTTGGTGACTACTATATACAAACATGGATTATCTCACTGACTCTGTGAGTTCAGTACCATTATATGTTACAGACTACAAAACCAAGCTCAGTGAGGTTCATTAATTTTCCCAAAGACACACAGCCAGTAAGAGGAAGCTGAAGGATTAGCAGCAATGAAGGATGGGAGAACTACAAAGCCTGTGTTCAGAAGATCCTGAAAGAGAAATACTGGTGCAATTAGGTGTACCTGGGCTCCTCCAGCTTTCAGATTGGGGCCCTGACACAGAGACTGTCAGACAAGCACACAGAGAGGAAGATTTCACTTTATTGTTACATCAGTCTGACAAATAAACCCAACACAGCACTGAGCGGATAAAGTGCTAATGCAGAGAGGTCTGGTAACAGAAGGAGGGTGGAATCCAGTTCTCCTCCATGTCCCCAGCCTGAAGGATATTTCTATTACACAAGACTGAGGGCAGCTGATATACCAGGTAATCCATTTTACAGACTCTCTGAGCTAATGAATAGAAAATCATACTAGGTAGGGTCTGTGTAGGGCAAGAAAACAGAAAAGTCAGAAATGCCAAACAATAAAAATACTTTTCAAGCTATAGTGGAGGTGGACATCTAATAAGGAATTGGATAGGTATGGTATTTCTTGCTACTATCTATCCCAGAACTGTGACCTGAGTAAACACTCTTTCTCCCACACCCTCATAAGCACTAGAATTTTCTGAGACTCTAGAAAGAATTGACTTCACCTGCTTACCTTGCCACCCCATAAAAGTGCTCGCTTATGAACATCAGGAAGATAGAGGCTGTCAGAATAATCAACTTGGCAGCATTTAAAGAAAGTTAATGAATCTCAAGATTTCCTATAATTATCTTTAGACATTGTCTATGTTAAGCATGGGGTTTAAAACACTATTATTTGGTTAGAGAATTCAAGTGATTTGTTTATACGAAGTGAGATTATAATATCTGAAGCTCAGTTCACCCCAGCTATTTTTATTCCCAAACTAGAAAATCACTGACTGATTTTCAGAGACCAGAAGAAACACCAATGACCATCTGATCATCCCCCTGATGCCATACAATCCTGAAATCAAAGGGTCAAATCAGCTGTGTCTTTCCAGAACCTGAGACTTCCTGGACTCACTTGGTCCACAGTGAATCCAAGTAAGGATAAACCAGAAAGAACCTGCAACATGCCGCACTTGTGGCTAAGTGTAAAGTCTTAGAGTGGAACTTTCAAGTAGGGAAGTAAGGGGTGAAGCATTTCAGCTTTGTCCTAGAATAAGAAGCAGCTAAAGTGTTGCCATGATAGGTAAGAACTAACTGTGGTGAGGCCTCAATAGAAAGGAGCAGTCCCTCACAGATAAGGGAATGAGTATAGCTGCTAGGCAGACTGAGGCTGGCAGTCCTAGGATCACCCATGTTGAGCTTCTGATACAGCCTCTACTATGTGGTTATGCTTAACTTTCCATCTAGCTTCCTTTGTGGAGGCTGGTAAGAAAGGGACCTAGGGAATGATCACTGCCTAATTGCTCAAATGGGGGGGTCATCAAGTTCCTAGTCCTTAAGGAACCTCAAAATGTTTTTGAGGTAAAAAACATTCATGGTTCCAAAGAATTGTTTGGTGCAGGCAGTAACTGAACACCAGGCAAGACAGTTGGTGAGTCTTGGCAAGGTTCAAGAGGGATCCAGTAAACACCCTGAGAACTACTGCTATGAACCAAAGGTAGACTTGGGAATACTTAAGGACTACTCATAGCTGGCTATCTACCTACTTATCCAAATACTTCTAAGACAACTGAAGGGAAATGCCATTGTAGATACTTGTGTGCTTCAGTTGAAACCTAACCAAAACAAAACAAAACAAAAAAACATTAAAACCTCCTGTGATTTCCCCAACCCAATGAGAAGAGTTATAAAAGGTTGTTAACACTATCTACTGTGCTGCTTCTTTCCTTGTACCAAGGCAGAGCTGAGGATTTCCTAACCCTCAATTTCTTGCCTAGAAGTTTCAGTCCTTATACCAGAAAGGTTTCCCCAAGTATCCCTAATTGATTCTATCCAGTCTGCTCCCTTCTATTCTGGCCCTGCTCTGGGTTTTTTCATTTCCCAAGTATTTCCTTTTTTCCAAATACTTGAGTCTTTTGTCATACATATAACAGGGTAGGCAGAAATTCTGACTGGATTTTGGGAAGGTAATTGATGTCTCACAATGACGCCCAGATTATTGCTGAACTGTTTAATTGCAGCTCAAGGATCAATATTCCCATCTCTCTGTTTTTTCCCTTTCCCCCCATCTAAGAAGCTCATATTAAAAAGCCCTATCTCTTTCATCTTTGTACTCTCAGTTTTTAGGATGCAAGATAATGGCCTAAATGTAACAGTTTGGGGCAGGGAAATTTTAGTGAGCTTGGCACACAGGAAAGAGATTCTTCTGGTGCCCACCTGTAAAGAATATTTTTCCCTACCCTGCCTTTTTGTACATATTGTCACCTCTGCCTTCCTGTTAAGGCTTGGAAAAAATGAGGCAACACAGGGGTCTTGGCTTTGAAGTCAGGTCTGATTTCTAGGGCCTTTCTCCCACTGACTTAACGTTTAAGTTTAGACAATTCACTTGCCTCTCAATGTTTAAATGAAAGATTTGAACTAGATGACCTCTCTGGGCTCTTTCAGGTCAATTCATACTAGAGAAATTTAGTTAGAAGATATCCTAATTCCAAGAATTAGGCTTCTTATACTTCTTTGAAATAGCAGAAAGGAGGTAAAGTCAGGTACCTGTTTTATTATACATTTAGCTATCAGAAAGGAAGCAAGTTTATCTATGAAGAAATAGAAACTGGCAGCCCCTACACTTGACTAATAAAAGAAAATTTTTGGAAGAAGCAGAGAAATAGGCCACAAGTGAGACCCGGCAGTGTCAAAAAGTCTATAAATTAAGTGATCAAAGGAGTAAAAAACAATGGCTGTAACCAGACAAGATCTCTAAAGCATAGACTTTAGTCTAGAAAGGTTTCAGTAGGAAGGAGCCCCTGGAGCATCTATTGGAGGGAAGGACTTGGTCCACAGTAAGTTGCTACTGCATTTGGTTCAAACTCAGTTTTCTCAGTCAACCTGGTATGTGTGCACACGTGCAAACACACTGCTGGCTGTAGTTATGCTTCTGAAGTGCTGAAATGAGAAAGAAACATCAGAGAAAAAAAGATACCACATTCAAAGGAGTTAGGTTGAGGGCAAGTAAAACATTGATTTAAAAGTTTCTCATTCTCCCTGCACTATATGTGGTATCATTGCAGGCCTTCTAAAGCGTAAGCAAGCTATAGCGTTTTGTGGGACAATGAACTCTGGGGGAGGAGAGGAGTAGACTTGTATGATTTAAAGTCGAAGGCAGGATATAACTCTGCATACTGTCTGAGAATCCCCCAATTCATGACAAATGTATTTGATTTCACCTGACCAATTTTGATACTCACTTGTCTTCATTCAAAGAAACTGTCTCCACAAAAGGGATTTCTTCCTTGTCTGTCTTTCCTATAATCAGCCGATGCTTATCCAAGTTTATGATACACTAAGAGAAAGGAAAATCAGTTGTCACTGTCAATGATCCCACTATGGGTTCCCCATGTAAGAAGATCCCTGCCTCAGAGAAGAAGCATCAAAGGGAAAGTGGAGTCAATCCTACCTTCAGGGAACGGAGAGTCTGGAGACCAAGAGACAAGTTTTTCTCATTATCCTCTAAGAAAAAAAAAAAGTTAAGATTCAGCTGTTTCCATGCTGGCTTAGAAGTCAGCTTACTCACCATTAGGTTCTTTCCATCTATCCAACCAGCTACCCAGCCAGCCAGCCAATAAACATCCGTTACTAAGTATTTTTCTCAGGTCATTATAGTTAAAATATGATAGAGTCGAAATTCAAACCCAGTCTTTTTTACTCTAAAGAACAGAGACCTTTAAAAAATACCCAGCAACTTTAGTATAGGACAGAATGCAAGAAGAGATGTGTAAGAGAAAGGTGGGAAATTACCAAGGGATTTATGGCAAAGGAGTAACAGGATCTTGTTCTCTGCCACCAACTAGTTCATGGAAAGCTCTCAGAGAACATAAAAATGTTTGTTTTCTTGCTCCATGAATTGCTTTGTCTGAGTTCCAAACTCCCTTTTTCTCATTGATTCTCAGGATATCTTTTCTATGTGTGTGTGTGTGTGTGTGTGTGTGTGTGTGGTAATAAGGTTTGAATTCAGAGCTTTGTGCTTGCTAGTCAGGTGCTCTACTGCTTAAGTCACATCTCCAGCCCTTTTTCCTATAGTTATTTTGGAGATAGGATCTCACTTTTTCCCAGGTCAGCTTGGACTATGATTCTCTTATTTTAAGCTTCCCCCTATAGATGATGGGTGCACACCACCATGCCCAGGCCTTTTCTATTCAGATGAGTTCTCAAAAACAATTTCTGCCCAGGCTGGCCTGGACCCACCATACTCCATCTCTGCCTCCCACATAGCTGGGATGACAGGTGCATACCAACACACCCAAGATGGGGTCTTGTGAACTTTTTGCCCAGATTGGCCTTGAACTGTGATCCTTCCAATCTCAGCCCCCCAAGTAGCTAGGATTACAAGAGTGAGCCACTGGTGCCCAGCTGATTCTCAGCATATCTTAAATGTAGCTCAGGGCCAACCTGGTACTTTGGAGGGCAAAAATGGGAACGTGAAGTTTGAAGAAGCTGATATTACAAGCATGAGATTTCTTGAGGGTTTACATTAGATCCCTATGTTCAGTCACCCATTTTACTCACCAACCACAGCTGCTGGGCAGTCCAGACGGATGGAACCTACTGTCATCATCAGGTGGTCAATCTGGCCCACTACTTTGAGATGCCGTGGTAGAGAAAGCTTTTCTGCTTCATGCTTGTGAGACCTGACAAACTCCTTAAGTCTGCATCCAGAGAAAAGATACCAGAGTTTCCTTGGCAGAGGTTTCTGACCCACAACTGAAATTCTCCAGGAATTTCCTGGGATTCATTTATTTAAATAAATAAAAAAAAAGAGCTAGATAGCCTACACTTTCTTTTGGTACTTTGTCCTACACAGACAGGGGCACATAAGAAAAGACTAAATTTTCTATTTCTAAAAAGTTTACATCACTACACTACCTGCACTGGTGAAAGGGTGGAGTTGACACATTCAGAAAATTCTGTTCTGCATTCTAACATCCCCACCTATGTGTGAGGCAGTTTAGTTAATGTGTCTTTTTACCCATCAGTGGATAACAGGTATCAAAGAGGGCAAGTTAATCCTAATTTCATTTAATTAATTAATATTTTGATGGTCTGGGCTTTGCCTCAAGCCCTTTTTGCTCTAGTTGTTTTGGAGATAGGGTCTTTCTTTTTGCCCAGGCAGACCTGGACCTTGATCTTCCTCCTTTGCACTTTCTGCAGTAGCTGTGATGATAGGACTATACCTCAGTACCCAGTTATTGGTTGAGAAGGGGTTTTGCCAACTTTTTGCCTGGGCTGGCCTTGAGCTGTGTTCCTCCCAATCTCAGCCTCCAAACTGCTCAGATTACAGGCATGAGCCACCATCACCTGGCTTAATCCTAATTTTAGAAGATGCTTTATTCAATGTCTAATTTTTCTCCCCCTTTCTGTTTCAGTCTATCTTCATCAGTTAATCTTAGGTTATAAGGTTAGTGGGGGCAAGTACTTATTTGGTAAAAGCACTGATACTGTAATCAACAAGGAATATTATTGACAAAGTCCTCATTAATTTGACTTGTCTTTGCAGGAGAGGAAGGAAAGGAATAACACCAAGGTTGCACACAATTATGTAAGCTGACGGGAACAGCTAGCACCCAAGATATTATGAGTTGGTGGATAAATACTTAATTATGGACTTTCTGTTCCAATACTTCTTCTTTCCTCCATTTCCTTTCTTTTGGTGTTACAGCCCATTCAAAAGAAAAATAATTGCAGTTTTACAGATGGTTATTAATTCCTCTGGAATCAGGGCAGTCTGCTGCCTAATTATGCACCAGGGCATTCTTAGTCTTTCTGGAACCATCATGTTGCACCATACCTCATCCTTCACCACATAAAAAAGCTCAAGTGGGAGCCTATGGCTCATACCTACAATACTAGCTACTTGGAAGGCTGAGATTAGGAGTTTGAGGCTGACCCTGACAAAAAGTTAGCAAGACCCCCATCTCAACCAACAGCTGGGCACAGTGGCATGTGCCTGTCATCCAAACTACATGGGAGGCTGAGATCAGAAGGATAGTGGTTCCAGGACAGCCCAGGCAAAAAAGTTTGAGACCCTGTCTCAATGTGAAAAAAGCTGGGCATGGTGACACACACCCTATTCCAGTGACAGTGGGAAGTATAAAAAAGGAGAATTGTGGTCTAGGCTTGCCTGGGGGCAAAAAGCAAGACCCTATCTCTAAAATAACCAGAGCAAAAAGAGCTAGAGGAATGTACAAGAGATAGAGCTCCTGCCTCACAGGTGCTGGGCCCAGTTCAAATCCCAGCACCACCAAAAAACCCCAAAAAGCTCAAGATTTTTCTCATAAGAGTATTTGAATCCTGGACTATACCTCCCACCCCCCCAATTAGCAATGTACAAAACCCACAGAGCCAACTTCAAGAGAGTCACAGTAGTGGTGAGGGGTGAGGTCAGGATAGACACAGAAGGAACAGGTTATTTGGCAGGGTCACTGATTATATAAATGAAACCCTATGTAAACCCTACCTAAGAATATGGATATTTTGAATGCAGCTCAAAATGGGCCACTACATTTTCTCAGTGATTGCTTCATTATAGAGAATTGGGGTTGGCAATGATTTATTGTACATCAGACTAGAAATATGGAAAATGATACTGGGTTGATTCTACTGATTGTAGGCTATACCTCAGGGCCCACCTACCTTGGAGGAAAGAGTAGCAAGAAGAAAAGAAATAAAACTAGAGCAAAAAGGAAGTAAGACACAGAATGACTTTCTCTGATTAAAAGAGAGAGAGAAAACCCAATTCCAGCTGCTAGAATTGAAGACATTCAATATACTAATCCATCTCACACTCAATCCCCAGCAGGAGGGCAGGAGGATTTGATTTTACATGTTCTCCAGAGAGGAAGGGCACTAAGAAACTCTTGATTATTCACCCCTGCAATACCAAGGCCCAACAGTCATAGCAGTCTATTCTCAGGTCTGACTAGTATTTCTTGGGGACAGCCAGTGTGCCCTCCTGAGTAAGCTAAGGCCTGCCACATCCCTGCTTTTACTCATTGGGGGTACAACAATCAGACAGTTACTTCTAATATGCTGTCTGGTGGGTGAGCCAGGAGTCTCAAACTTGCTCATTCCAGAGTCTAGAGGTCTTTGCTCAAAACAATAGGTGGGAGTTAACAGAAAGCCCAACATTTCCTGGTTCACTGATTTCTCCCAGCTGCCATTCTTTCCCTTTACTAAAGGACCAAAGTTCCAGCTGAGATCTGAGCTTTGAATATTTCTCTTTGTGCTTCTGTGGATACCCTCAACCTTTCTCTCAAAACAGATTCAAAAAAGAGTATAGTCGCATCTGATTTTCACTCAGCACAAGTGGCTACTTACCCCAATCTGTCTACACAGGATGAAGAGATGAGATTATATTGACAACCTGTGTCAACCAAGGCTTTCACATCCTTTCCAGCACACTGTGGGAAGGAAAAATACTGTTCAATATAAGCCAGAGAAGCAAAGGGAAAGAGAGATGCAGAGAGCAAGCAGCAGATGTCAAATGAAAGGCATGGTTGGAGAGCTTCTCCCAATTGGTTAGTAGTGTCCCATCTTTACTCATTGATAAATCTGCCTTTGATTGGCTTTTTTTTCCTGTTGAATCCAAGGCTGACAGACTTTGACTGTTTTGTTCCAATAGAAAGTAGCTTTTAATCTTTTTCTGTTTTCTTTTTTTTTTTTGGCAGTACTGGGGGTTGAACTCCAAGGCTGGCACTTGCTAGGCAGGCACTCTACCACTTGAGCCACTCTGCCAGTCCCAGTCTTTTTTATTTCCCATGTGGAAGATCAAACCTAGGGCCCCCTGAGTGTACTAGGCAAATGCCCTACCACTTAGCTATAATCCCCAGCTCTTAATTAAAAAAAATTCACATGCCCCTTTGTAAATCTGATGAAAGCTTTGGTCCTTCTTTCCAAAAAGGTGCACTTGCATACAAAATATAGTATAAAGTACATACAACTTTAAAACTCATTTATGAATTACATGATAAGAACTAGTCTATGAAGTCTGACATAGTAGACTCCAATAGTAGAGACAGCCTACTATTGGAGTCAATATAGGGTCCCAAATCCTATATCTAAAAACCCTGGAAAGGCTGTTTTCTGAATATTACCTGGCAAGAAACCAAGATCATGTCATCATCCTCATACTTCTTTAGCCCCTCAGACTTAGACTGATTGAGTTTGTTGGTCTTGGAGGCCCATGGGACACGAGTGCTTCGGAGCTTAGACAGGTTGGTTTCCATGAGGCGCCTCTGCAGGATGTTATGAGGTTGCTTGAGGAGTAGAAAGCAGAGGCTTCTTAGTGACAGGCCATTTTTCCCCCTTTTCACTGTCCCCCAGGTACCACAAAAATAATGAAGGAACCTTATATAACTGAGCTCCTTTGCTTCTTACTTATTTTTCCTTTAGGTGAGGATTTCACTGGTATTGTCAGAGCAGATACTATAAGCCAATCTGCAATAGGTCACCCTAAATGATTGAAAGAGCAAGGTAGGACACTGGGAAATGTGGTTATGGCCAATCACTATTTTATGGCTCAACAGAACTCAATGATCTTACTGATGTGGACTGCTGCCTTCCCTACCTTTACAAAGGCATTTCAGGGGAAAAGTGTTCTTAATCTGGAATAACTGATCTCTGTGTTTTTCCAGATAACCATAAACAGTGCCTTATACAAAGGGCAGTTCATTCTCATAGGTTGAAGAAATGCACCTAGCACTGGTAGTCCAAAGCTCTGCTTCTATGTCAAGTCTCATTCCCATAGACGCCTTCATGACCTGGCTCTTCTGTGGGGTGAGTCACCCATGGGGAGCATGGGGTGGGAAGACAGGAATTCATACCTGCTGAGTAAGCCTCTCAACAGACACACTTTGGAACCTGGCAGAACCCACAGGAATCATTCTCAATGACATCATCGAGACCTCAAGCCACTGGCTCCTCTTGCCCTATCTTGTCATCCATTCTCCCTCATTATTTTTTTTTCCAGTGTTGAGGATTGAACCTAGGGTCTCATGCATGCTAGGTAAGTGCTCTACCACTGACTACATCCTCAGCCCCTCCTTTCTTTCTTTCTTTCTTTTGGCAGCACTGGGGTTTGAACTTGAAGCCTCACACTTGCTGGCAGGCATTCTATCACTTGAGCCACTCCACAGTCCTTTTTTGTGTTGGGTGTCTCTCTCTCTCTCTCTCTCTCTCTCTCTCTCTCTCTCTTGTGGTACTGGGGTTTGAACTCAGGGCCTACCTTGAGCCACTCTACCAGCCCGTTTTTGTATGAGTGATGGGTTTTTTTCTGAGATAGGGTTTCTCAAACTATTTGCCCAGGCTGGCTTTGAACCACGATCTTCCTGATCTCTGACTCCTGAGTAGCTAGGATTACAGGCATGAGCCACTGGGGCCTAGCCTGTGTTGGGTATTTTCAAGATAGGGTCTCATGAACTAGTTGCCTGGGCTGACGTAGAACCATGATCTTCCTGAACTCTGCCTCCCTAGTAGCTAGGATTATAGGCATGAGCTACCATTGCCTGGCTCCCCTTTCTTTAATGGGCCAAAAAGTGAAGTATAAGAGGGACAGACATTTACAAAGAAGGGGTTTAATTAGACCTTATGTGTGTGTCAGGCTACCCAATGTTAAGAAACAGAATAAGGAATTCAAGCCTGATCTTAGATAGAGATTAGGAGAGTTTCAAGTCCATGCTCCTCTGTTCCTACTCAATGTGGCCCCCACAAAGTTTAAGACATCTCTTGAGAAGAAGTCATTTGACCTGAGTAACTTCTACACATGAACACATTTAAAATTTCTCAAAGGATAAAGCTTAGTCCCTACGTTATTTGTAATGTACATCATATTCCTCCTCTGATTTTAGAGGACAGGGAATCATTCTTACAAGTCCAGTGCCTAGAGCATTCCTAAGGAAAAGGATAGCATAAGAGGTCTTCATGATTTGCCACCTTACATATTTCTAAGGAAGAAAGGAGTCAGAGCCATGACTCACTGTAACCCTACTGAGGCAAGGAAACAGATTCCCAAAATACACTGTTTCTTGGCAAAGAAAGATCTAAATTAGTGTCCTTGGGAAGGGGGAAGGAAAGCACTTAGCTTGATAAGGGGCTGGAGTAAGTGCTAACTCTGTCAGATTTTGTGACACAATACTGGGAGAATGCTGTGCTCCTCAAAAGAAAAAGAAATTCTTCATTCTAATCTATCTCCCAATAAGCCTGGATTTCTAGTTCAAGCCATACAAAATAAGGGTATTTATTTCTGTCAAGTACATGCTTAGCAGGACCAACTTAGACAAACTAGATTTAGAAAAGTCATCTAATCAAAACCCTCTCACCTAAAGCTTAGTCCTTCTATACTAGTCTTGCTGAACACAATCTGGTTACTCATATTCTTGCAGAGGACCTCCATCATCTCTTCAATGGACAGATGCGACAAATGAGGAATGTTTGAAATAATTCTCTTTGAACTCATTCCTCTTCTGTATTTTCCTCCCTTTCTCCTGGATTCTTCAGCCATAGGCTAAAGAATATACTCAAAATTCCTTGAGATTGGAGAGAAAACTCACACACAAAACCTCAGATCCTGTCTCTTCAGCTCTCATCCTCCTGTAATCACACCCTTGTCTGGAACTTTTTAAAAAAGTTTAAATCACTATGTCTGTTTCCTGACATCCTATATTTTCTTCACTGAGATCACTTCTGACTCCACAACACAAATAATGATCCCTTAATTCCAAAATCTAGTAAACAATTTTCAAGCTTAATTTTCCTTGATTTCTCCAGTACATTTAGCCCTGCTAACTTTTCCTTTGTTCTTTTCAGTACTGACTAAAAGGTTCAAATGCACACTCAACATAAAATATGAAAATAGCCCTGAAGTGTATAAAATTAAAGGTGATAACCTCACCATTAAAGTTAGATATATATCCTTCCAAAAAACACCTCACCTTTACAAACATATATAAAAAGTGGATCATACTATAAGAGTTTTATGAAATTCTCTATTTTCATTTAAAATATGAAAGAAATTTTTCTATGTTAATACATGTATTTCTTTTCATTCAATTTCATTATTTTCATACTCTATAAAAAGTATTCAAAATACAAAACTCACAGCCAACAAACCCATATGAACCTCAGAGATGTTTTTCTTTGGTTATTTTATTATGCCTACATGTTTTAAATGACAATGTAGCTAAACATTTACCTTTTCTCCCAACCAAAATTTCACTAAAATGACAGTAAAGGAATAAGAAAGGCCGAAACCCACAAGAACAAAGAGAATAGTGAAGAAAACAGGAAAGAAAGACAAAATTATGTTGACAAAATCCTGGAATCCTGAGACAAAAAGCAGTAATTGACATAGACTAGAGAAAAGTGTGTGCTTCACCCCACTTATCACTTCATAGGATGTTGGAGTGGCAGGGACTGCCAGCTGCTCATTAAAATCCTAGTTCTCCTCTTCTTCCTGAGAAGATACCCAGATACCCAGACTGAGAATAGAATGCACTAGAAGTAACAAGAACACTTCTATGGCTCATAAAAAAAACTCTTGCGCATACTCCATATTTTTAGCTCTTCTCAATGGTCAGAGTAGAGATGACCCTTATGGTAACTTCCTTAGAAACTACTGTCAACCTGGGTCCCTACAGGATTACACAGAAGAGAGCTGTCTTGCTGACTTTTCTACTAGTATAGTCACTCGTCAGTATCCATGACATCCATACAAATGGTTCCTGGAACCCTGGTAGATAACAAAATCCATGAATACTCAAGGCCCTTATATAAAATGATGGTAGTTATCTGCATATAACCTGCCCACATCCTCCCTTATACTTTAAATCATCTCTAGATTACTTATAATATCTAATACAACGTACATGCTATGTAAACAATTAAATTATTACTGCACTATGTAGGAAATAATGATAAGGAAAAGTCAGTACATGTTCAGTATAGATACAATTTTTTAAAGAGTATTTTTGTGTCATAGTTGGTTGAATCTGTGGATGTAAAACCTATATATACCAAGTGTCAATTGTATTGTTACTTAAGAAAAAAAGAAACTATTATGTTTGAGTAGTTATGCATATTGGTGTCTAACAGTAAAAGTAGATTTCTCACTCAAACTAAGACCTTAGAAAAGCTGAGAAGTTAGAGAAAAGCTTACTCCTGTGTAGACTCAAAATAATTATTTAGCAGAATATTAACATTAATATTAATATATCAATATAATATAATATGATGGAAAGGTACAAGAGGATGAAATATTTATCCATTTTAACAAGTTAGAAATCTATAGTCAGAGGGTGCAATAAGGATTAGAAACAGGGTAGTTTAAAGCCTGTATAAGACTCCCACTTTACTTAGACAACTAGGCAGAATTCCAGGGTGCCATACTAAGCCAGAACTGAAGGGCAAGAGTTTAAAGACTGAAAGCGCCCATGTAGAACCTAGCATAATGAAGGAAAAAAGATTCACTCAAGTTATCATTACTGGAATATCATAGATTAGAAAGATCCCAAAAGCTTCCAAAGAGAAAAAAGATGATCAAAATTCAAAGAATAGTAAAGGCCACTCGAGTATCAATAGATGCTAATGGACAATGAAATAATACCATCAAAAATCTAATAGTTCAGAACTTTTACACCTAGCCCAAACTATCATCAATACTTAAGAATTTATTTCCTACGCATCCTCTAAGAGCTACTGAAAGATATCTTCCACCAACATGAGGGAACAAACCAACTCAGAGAAAAGCATGGGATCCAACAGAGAATAGAGGCAAAGGAAATTCTGAGCATGGTATTGAAGGAAAAGTCCAGGATGTTGGTTGTCTATCAAGCCTAAAGAGCAGCCAGTCTAAAATGAAATAAGAGGATGGAGGCTCCAAGAAAAAAAAAATAGACTTGTTAGGTCATCTATAGTTTTAAAGTACTTAGAGGAGATTTAAATTTTATACTGAAAATTCAGGAAAAAACCCAAGGAAATTAATCTTGAGAAAAACAAAATACATGAGAAAAGAAACATAATTACATTTGACTCAGTTGTGAATAATATGAACAGTTATAATAATGTAAGTAATAAATGCTGATTTGACTCAAAATAATTATTTAGCAGAATAGTAATTAAAATTTTAATTAATTAATTAAAATAGGACAGGGAATATGATGGAAAGGTATAAGAGGATGAAATATTTACCCATTTTAACAAAATCAATAGATAATGGCAAACTCAATAAATCAAGAAGCATCAGTTAGCTGGGCAGGGAGGTACATGCCTATAATCCCAGCTACTTGGAAGGATGAGACAGAAGGAGCACAAGTTTGAGGCCAGCCTGGACAATATAGTTAAGACCCTGTCTGGAAAAAAAAAATAGTAGTATCACCATTTACTTAGAAATTCAGTGATCCCTAACACAGCAATGATTTTAATTTAAAAAGTTTTAAATTACATACATATATTTTTTATGATAATAAAAACATACCTCATGTAATAGGAAATAGTGTGTCCATAAGAAAAGCCAGCTTACAGAGGTCTAAATGGAGATTTTTTTCTCATACAACAAGAGGTTTGGAAGTAGGTACTGCTGACATGAACTCAGTAGATTAACAACTTCAGGGCTAGCTGCCATAGCTCCAGGCATTATCTCCATATTCAAGAAATGAGGGAGGAGGAAGTCTTGATTTAGCTACTTACCTACTAATGGATATTCAGACTTCCACGTTTGTCATCGGAAATGATGCTGCAATAAACTCAACATTCCATTTTCACATTCCATTTTCTTAGAGCTGTCTTCCAACTGGATTTTGATCTTTCCCATAAACTTCCACTTTCTCTCTTAGCCTGTATCTCGGCGAGTGAAATTCTGCCACCTTAACACCTCACATATTCTGTCTTCATTTTTACTGTTACT